TGGCCTTGTGTCTCTCGATGCTTCTGTGTCTGCTGCCATTCTCTTCCCTCCCCTCCCATTTTATGAATCCCCTTTTTTTATGAAGATAGGTGACTCAGCCATCAACTCATTCATCATCAAAGCAGTCTGTTATATCACCGTTTTTGAATTGTTGATGAAGATACCCAGGGAACCCAGGGCATGCAGATGTTTTGAAGTCAGGTTTTAATTCTAGATGTTATAATTACTTCTGTGATGTAACCGCCAAATTGCCAAAAAAGAAATTGAAAGTCTGTGCTGTATTTTAATCAAAATGATTCATGCAGCTCATTTTAGCTACTTTAGTTGTGCAATCCGTATCTCTACTACTTTCAGCTTTTCCTAAACGGTCAACACTACGGTGGATGGTTCGGCCCGCACTGCAGAGGCTTGGTGGTCAGCGGTATGATAGGTGGAAAGGTCTATCACGTGGTGTTGGCTGCTTATCCAACCCAAGAATCATTTGAACCCCAACTCTCCAATGAAGTGGTAAGATTTTTACTCTACTACGATAACTGGACATAGACTCAATCGTACATTTAGCAAATAAGCCTTTTTTTCATCTTTAGTGTGCATAATTCATTTTCTATCCACTTTGCAGGTGATTTCATGCCCTTTACAAACTTTATCCGGGGGACCAGTAGTGTCTTTGGAAGCTGCCACTTCACCCCAGTCTCTTGTGATTGTATGGCCAATCTTCTGTGATCCTAATACTGCTGATATCGTATCTTACTCTGTGATCATTAATGATCAGCCGTTTGGAGAACAGGTGAACACCAAATTCAAGTTTTTTCCTTGTGAACATGCTTCACCCCATGCTTACCGAATGACATATTCTACTGTTTTTCAGATGAAAAGAATCAGGGTTAGATTGGTTCTTTAGGACACAAATTCAATTGTCCAATATGATGCGATTGGCTTTCCCTTCACAATTCTCCTTTCAAAAGGAAGGCAATCGATTGCGGGGTCATTCGTGTCACGCCCTGCTACCTAAAAATACTTGCTAGATTTAGTGCCTATCCAATCGATACATGTTATAAGATTTTTGTCGATTTGTATCGGAGATTATAAATGAAAATGTCAGATGTATTTTAAGCAGGGCACTTGTTCTTCCACTGCCACGTTTATCGAAGCTGTTTGGTCTCCCTTGAAGCCAAAATACTGTACTGCGCTTTTTGTTTATTTTCTTCCCTCTGTAGTGAAGGTATATTTTCTATTATTTTTGAGCAGGTAATACCGGAATCGGAAAGCGACTACTGTAGAGTAGTATTTGAAAGCAGTTTGCAAGATCAGACCTACTCATTGTGTGTAGCTTCTCATTCTCCCGGTAAGTACTTTAACTTAACGTTGTGCGCCGCTTCTTAACTCGTCTAGTCGCGTAGGAACTGCACTTAAAACTGCCGTGAAAACGTGGCACATTTACCTAAGCTGAACATCTCGTTTTTCTTTTAAAACAAAATAATAATTTTTTGGTGAACGCATCTATTTAATATTAACTGGCTTTCGAGGAATATGTTTTTTAACTACCTTATATGTGAATTTATGTCTATGGAGATTGTTGGTGAAGCATTTAATTCTTCTTCTAAAAGTTGTGTATTTTTATCTTTACTGAATCAGTACTTAAATTAGTTAATGTCCCAGTTTCAGTGGTGATGTATTTGTTATTGAATAATCCGAGTTGACGACACTTATCTGTCTACGTTAGAATGCATAAAAAAATAGTCACAAAACAAATAAACAAAAATGTGCTCTATTGATATATTCTTAGGCTCGTTCGTTTTTTTTCACTAGCTTTTTTCTTGTTACCTTGTTTAACAATAACATCCAAATCTTTTAGCGAAAGAAAACATGTTCACAATTGATTTTAATTCCGCTTTTTTTTTTTTGTACAGGATCAGATGTTTTGCTGTATTCAAATGAGGTAGAATTCTCGCTGCCAATACCAGAGGAAATTCTTGGTGCTCTACGGAAAACAACTACTGAAAATTATTCTGAGGAAGGCGAGGAAATTCAAGATGGCGAAGCCGCGCGGGAGCTGCTATTAGTAGCTGAGCAAGTCACTTCGGAGTCGTGTGTAACAGTTCAGTCGGCTGGGAACGAAGAGCTTTCTTTGAAATCACTTATCAGTAAACTGCAGACAATCCCTGAAGATCAACCGCTGATTGCTTTGGCTGCTGAGCCTGATGCAGACGTTGAACAGAGAGTTTCATCTCAAGAGATGGATCATGTACAGACTATGTCAGTAGACAATGAGTCGTTACACCGCCTTGAAGAACAAGAAAAAGTGGCTGGAGATGGACTCGTTCCTTTAGGAGATAAAGAAGCTGATGTGAAAGATGCACCGGCTGACTTGTCCTCAGCTCAGGTGAAAGATGAGACTTGTACTGCAGTTAACGTTGAACTGGACTCTACTATTTTCAGATATCTCGGCGGAAGCTGTCGAGGAACAGAGTCAAGTGCAGAATCGCTGACAGACTCTATAGAAGACAACAAGAGAGTACGTCAGCTACACGAAGAATATATTGACGAAGCTACAACTAGCCAATCTAATGCTAAAAGTGACATTCCTGCACACGTTGTGTTTAGTGAATTAAAAGATGATGTTATTGTTAATCAGTCCGTTGAACACGATCACAAATTAACAATAGAACAAGCGTCAGAGCAGTATGAAGTGACTCAAGAAACACTAGTAAATAGAGAAGTGGAGAGGACTGAGTTTATGGATAATGACAAAAAACCCTCTGAAATCATCGAACAAACGTCTTCACGTGAAACGAGTGCGGATCTTTGGGATCAAAGCGAGAAAAAGGGCGAGGAAGATACAACAACAAATGAAAACTTCTCAGCTAAACGTGACAAGTTCAATAGTCACGCAATGAGTCACGTAGCCAGCCAGGGTAGTACCGATCATAACAAAGCTGGAGACAATGGTGCTCAGGGAATTTGGGACAATGACAAACCTGAGGTTGAATCAAGAACAGAGCTTGATCAGGATATTGTACGTGACGATATTCATTTCAACGATCTTAGGCACGATGCTTTTATTGCTCAGAGCCAAAGAAGCGAAGTAGGGGAGACAGCTTATGATAGCCCTGAAAAGGTGGTCTGTGGTTTATCTGAACTTGATGCTTCAGACGAGATAGAAGAATCACAAGATAGTGCCACAGAAATAGAGGATGAGAATGTGCGTGGGGCAAATTCAGAGAGAGGTGAATGCCTGGAAAAAGGGATTTTACCCGACTACCTTGCGCAGCTTATTTTAGGGCGCGAAAGGTCAGCGCAACCAGTTAAAGTCACAGAACTGAAGAATGGATACCAGCAAGACGAAAGAGATTATTTAGAATCAAAAGGTATACAGCTGCAAAATTCCTCCCATGAAGAAGCAAACGGAAAACGTAAGAACGAGAACCTACAAGAAGAGCTGATTGCTGCCGCAGTCGAAGTGTTACAAGATTCACTAAACAGTTTCACACAAGTGGAAGACAGAGCCATTTCAATGTCAAAAGGAAAAGGTGAAGTCGAAGGACCAAATAACGAACGGCTTAAGGAATGCACCAACTTTGAAAAGGTCGTGTGTGGAGAAAACCAATTAGCAGATTTAACACCGCAGGAAACGAACTGTGTTACTCTTTCATCTAAACATGCAGGAGACGGCAACAATGTCCGATTTGAAGTTGTGGACGACATTTGGTCGGCGTTAAGTAGCAATGGTTCAGTGAAGAATGATAACGACAGAATAATGACTGTTGCTTTAGAAACAACAGAGATGCCCACCTTCGAAGAATCATCAGTCGTTGATGATCCTATGTTCGCGCTCAACAGTAATCAAGATGACGTAGACTTCCAACTTGAAAGTGGAAATAGGGAGTCCAACATGAAGGGAGAGGAAGCAAAAGATCGTTTCCAAGGTAAGATATTTGTCGAGCGCCTAAGTGTCTTTTTTGTCTTTGTTTTGTTTGTTTGTCTGTTTTTTTTTTTTTACATAGGATGGTATGTGGTGTAGGCAGGATGGAAACCATATTTAAGCACCGCTTTCACCTATGTGACATCTGGGCTTAAGGGAGATTTCAAGGGTATTGTCACGTGCTCTCTCAATTTGTTTAGGTATTTTCTGATATTCGTTTTTCGGATAATTATTTATTCAACACACCTATTTGACGATGTTGTGTTGTCAGATGTCCGGAGGTTTGGTGTCACCCAGTTGCTTTGGTGTCCCTCTTCTGCAAAGGAAATTACCAACCTCTTCTGTCGCGACCTTATACGTCACCCCAAATACAATAGACTTAGTATGTCAAACAATGACAATTGTGTGCCTTTGTGTACTTTATATACTTTCATTGAAATAGAGGTAGTCTTGCTTGCCTTTAAGAGTAGCCAAGTTTTCTGGTGCTTCATGAAAATGCGGTCACACCTGGTAGCCGCTGGTTTCGGCTTAAAAATTAATACCTTGTTTCACACCCAAACCCCCCCCCCCCCCCCCCCCCCCCCCCCCCCCCCACTTCCCCTAACCAAATGCTTTCAGGCGTGAGTCAAATCAAGTTGTATTTTTTACCATTCGTAACATGTGCATCGTCACTGACTGATTGTTTGGGCATCATCTGTTAGGAGAGGTATTGGAAACAAGTTACGACAAAAATTCTGCAGATGGATCCGAACATCTTCCCAGACCTCTTCTCGTAATCAAAGGAACAACGCCCACCGCCGTGACTCTGGAATGGGAATGGACTTTGCAGCCCAAACAGATCGCCGGCGCAGATATTGTCTACTCGGTGTTTTCCCTTGGTAGGAAATTTCACAGCGATATTAATAGCAATTTTTGGTAAGTTTTTGCATAAAGAAGCCCAGATTGTACTAATTTCGTGCGTTTTAAACTGTTGCGATATTTCAATTGTGTTTAAATATTAATTATGTTTCTACAGTTTCAAATTTGAAGACAGTCCAGTAAAGACAATGTGGCCAAATGAAATCGTAAGTAAAACTAATTTACTAAACAAAATGGATTGTTTTCATTACTTGACTGACCTTAAACAGCTCATTAGAAGTCCTCGTGCATCATTAAAACACGCTCGTGTGAACCTTTTTTTTTTTTGATTGATTAATTTAATTTATTTGACTATTTATTTCGTTTAGTTCTTCATATATCTATATACTCACAGGCTAACTTAAAACAACACGCATGGCGTACAACTGGTAGAGTTATCGAGATCACTGGTTTAAGACAACGTTGCAGTTACAGGTAAGAGAGTTTGATGCTGTATTACCGCAGTTTACTTACAGCACGTTCCTCACATCTCTACCTCAATTTTGTCTTTATAGACTGGCCGTTCTTGGCCAATTGATGCCATGTGCTGGCGAAAGCCTGTCTCGTGTTATTTCCTTTACCATGCCCGGGGCGCCAAAGTCACCGGTGCTCCACGTCAGAGACCTCCAGGATAGACAGGTACTGATAACTTCCTTTGGTATTTGTTCTGCAAAGAAAAAGTGAATTCAGCTTGCTTCTTACTGATGTCTACATCACTTTGGGTATAGATGGCGTCTCCTGGTTTTATCTGGCCGTGTCCACGAACATTCATTCTTTGTATTTCAGGTTACTCTGACGTGGAAGCCGTCCACGTCATTCGGAGATGCAACTGTCGTGGGATATAGACTGCTGAAGGATGGCAAGGCATTCAGGGAAGACTTAGCCTCTGAAACTCTCAGCTTATGTTTAGCTGGTTTAGAGGAAGGTTTGCGTCAATTTACATTTTGAGAACCAACAAGCGGACGAGTCGATTATTTGATTTTCCTTTTGCCTCAATAGATTTTGTTGTCTAAGGGTGGTTTAGGGATGAAAACATGGCTAAAATTGTTTAAAGTTCGTTACAGTTAAAATTTTTATCATTTTAAAAGCAACTGTAGAGGTTTCTGTATCGGGTATTTCTATCTTGCGGTCTTAACTTGTAATATATCTGTATTTTTTTTATCAGGTATAATTCATAACTTCAGTTTAATAGCTGTAACTGGACACAATGTAGGAGACAGCAAACCTTCCAATACAATTATTGTGCACTGTCCTACTGTACCTGAATCTCCAGAAATCTACATCATAGAATCGTCAACTTGGGGATCTATATGCATCGCCTGGAAACGCAATGAGCCAGTGAACTCCAGTTACTCAGAGAAGCATGCGCAGTACAGCTACTGTGTCTATGTAGATGGAGTACTACATGGGGAATGTGCTCTGGATGATGTGACCGACATATTCTCAGATGAACACACTTATACCATTACAGACTGCACTTTTGAGCGAAAGTACAGTCTGAGCATTAGAAAATATCTAAATCCAGATGTAGTTACTGGTGAAGATAAAAATAAGGTTTACGTGTGTGGTTGCTATGGCGAGAGCTCCAACATTTTGGAGGTTTACTGCGCAGGACCACCATCTCCCCCTGTGCCTCGGGTTTCTCGTATTGACCAATCAGGAGTCACCTTGTCATGGAGCAAGTCACGTGAATATGGTGGAGTTGCTTTAGCGGTATGTTTGCATTTTTTCATTAAGTGAACAATACCACAGGTTATACGGTCCGTATTATCAATCTTATTGTCATTTATGATTATTTTTCCTTGTTTTAGGGCTACATTCTTCACGTTAATGGTAAATGGTCAACAGAGCTGTTTTCCCCGGAACAACAAGAAACAAAATTAACAGGTTTTAGGTTAGGAGAGGTTATCCGCGTCCAAATGGCTGCAGTCACTTCAGATCGTGGCGTTCCGATATCAGAAATAGTTAACCAGGAAGTCAATAAACCGCATTTCTTTCCATCATCAGTTGAATTACTTGATAGTGGTGTGGAAAGCAGCTCGAGTTTCCTTTCCAAGGGTTCAGTCGACCATACGAAACAGCTATCACGCTCTCTAGGGCCGCCATTGCTGATCCAGTATTCCAACTTGGTCAGACAAATTTCCAGTTTTGGACTCACCAATGTATGCTGTCGTTCTGTTTCCATTACATGGTCATTGGATTTTACTGCTTCTTGTTCCGTTGATCCGGAGATACTAAATGCTGTATGCTGGAAAACTACAGAACAACGAACATCTGTTATGAGACACAGGATTGAAGGTAAGGGCTGTGCAAATTAATGTGAATATTTGATATCATCAGATCTTGACTTACAGCTTATCACTTGGAAATGTTCAGTTACCAGCATCAGCTCCTAGGCAAGCAATCGTGCGCAAGCTTTTCACGTGCACAGTGAGGGCAATGTTTTTATCCGTCAATACAGGCACCAAAAAAGGTGACGAGTGGCTAAGGTGGGGTGAAAAGGGCGGTCAAAATTATGAAAGAAATTTTTAACGCATTTTCCGTGTTCAAATAGATTTACCCTCCCTTCCCCTTGTCCCCTCCAAATAATTATGTTCTAATTATGTTCTGTTTTACTCGTTGAAAACTGCTCTTTTCTCTCAATAGAGAAGCCTTTCAGAATCAAAGACCTAGAACCAGGCATGGAGTACTATGTAATGTTGGAATGTTTTGCGGCACACGTTAATGACGACAGTTCCAATGAACAACCAATAAACCGTACTCAGTCCCAGCCCATCTCGTTCAAGACGGGCATAGCGCCAGGCCCTCTAACTAATATTTACGTGGTCTCAGCTACAGAGCAAAGTATCAAACTAGCCTGGAAAGCTCCTGTAGAACACGATGTCCCAGCAGCCATGATTCTAGTGAACGTAAAAATGACCAATCAACATTCAACTGATCAAGGCGTAGACTTTCATGTCTCCCCCGACTCCAACGTTTTTGATTTTGAACACTTGGCTCCAAGAACCCTATATACATTTACTCTGAAAGTCTTAACTAAAGATGACATCTTCGACATCCCTGAAGGGGGAAGTACTTCAGTTGCGAGTTTCTGTGCGTCGACAAACGGCGTAGATGCCGCCGACAAACTTAAACTTACGTCACGCTCTCCTACCTCACTTGCTATTAAATGGCAGTCAGCAGTGGCCTATGGTTTGTCCATCATTCGGCACCACATAGTACATTATGTCGAAAACAGACAGCAACGAAAGAGGTCACGTGGTAAAGTGGTACAGGAAGCGGAGACCGTTAATGATTTCCTCGTCGAGAGCGAACGCTGTGAAGCAGTGTTAAGAGGACTGGAACCTGGTAGTGTTTATAGGATCATTGTTCAGACGGTTGAAGGAATTATGGACTATTCGTATGAGGAAGACTTTGACAGTGACCATAGTGACACGAATTCCACAAACAGTAGCGCTCCAAGTGAGAAACCTGCTGATTTGCAACGAATTTACCTATCAGGACCCCTGTTAGTTTCTACCACTGCCCCACCTGAATCGCCTGTGCTTATGGTTAGCGGTTTTACTGCAACTCAAATTCATCTGTCATGGAATAGACCTCTGGTTCTCTCGCCAGGTGAGGAAGTTAACAGTTGTTTATTATATACTTTCCTCGAATTGCCTGCTTACGTGCCAGAAACGTCACTCCATTTTGGCTCTGCTCGTATCATGCAAAAGTTGGCAGTGGCTCATTCTTCCAAATTTGTGTTTAAGGTGCGTTATCTTTTTCAAAAAACTAACAGAACATACGATTAATTTGTTAATTTCTCACCCGGCCCAGTCACTGATGATGAGGAAATTCCATGTGGTCGCGTGCGTCATTTAAAGGGTTTCCGTGTGCAAATGAATGGCCGCGTGTTCACCAGATTAACCGCTGATAAGAAAAACATTACTATCAAGAAATGCAAATCAGGAATGAAGTACACTTGTGTTGTTGTGGCTATGACTTGTCCAGAGATGTTTGGTTGTCAACAAAGGAAGGTTAGTTAAGTAGTTTTATGTTGTGTTATATTTCTCGCGAGTTTTCGTTATTATTATTATTACTATTATGATTATAATTCTTATTATTATTATCTTTATTATTAGTATGTCTTTTATTATTTTCACGTATATACTTACCTTTAAAACCTCTAATCATCATCCGTTGTTTGGAATTAGAACGCCTCTGAACATAACTCTTTGTCCATACTACTTTGCGCTTCTAACACAAGATGAAACACTGGTACTCAATCAAATAGGCTTCTAAACATTTAGATTTGAAGTTTTTTCATGTAGTTATCAGTTTTTTCAGTGATGTGTTTTGTACCTTCTTGTGGCCTGTTGCAGAGTGAACCGTCTGACTCAACCATCAGCGGCACAGACACAGATGAAGATGACATTAAATCCTCCTTGTACTGTTTCGAAGAGTCGGCCTCAGATCCCGTCGAAGTCACTTTACCTCGTCAGGACTGGGGAGTTTGTTTGAGAGTAGATTATTGTGCAAGTAGGCCTGCCAGCTCGTTGGGAAGCAGTACGTGTAGTGAGACTGGTGACGAGGAGGGTGGAGTGGTAGCTCGGTGGAATTTGATGTCTGACGTAGCAGTTTATACGAGTGGATATAGACTGGTTTGGTATTGCAGTACACTTGAATATCGGATGGAAGTTTTCTTACCTGGGAATGTAAATGAATATGGAATCTGGTCTGTATCACCGAGGTAACACTCAGTTAACAGCAACATTTTGATTTTTCTCACTCTTTGCGATTGTATCCTCCTCAGAGGCACGTAAGGTTGTGATGCACTGTGGGTGAACTTCATTGATCTTGAATTTAGTTCAGGTGCGCCTGCACTAATTTGTCTTGTTCAGTACTTTGGCTCAATTTTTTTCTTTTTCATTTTCCGTCTTTTTTACCAGTGCTGTTTACACTATTTACTTGGAGTTACTTGACGAAACAAAAGAAGCCAAAGCTGTGTTTGGTCCGGTTCATTGTCAGGTAACTTTTATATGATCGTTCCCACACCTCCGCCTCATAAAAGGACACCCCAACTGCTTTTTTTTTCAATTCATTTCAACTCCCAATATTTCACCAAAGGAGTAAAATAAACAGCTGTCAAACACTATGGCTTGTGGCCTTGTACTTTGTGGCCTTTAACATATGACGTAAACGCTGTTTTCTCCTCATTGAAAATTCTCTTTACAGAGTCCCCTCCCCTTTTTTCTCCTTTTCAAAAAATTTCCCTTAAATTTTCTCCTTTCTCCTTTCTCCTTTCTCCTCCCACGTATGTCTTGCTGTACTTTGTGGCTTGCAAACTGTTACTTTTTTATCTAGACACCAGGCCCTCCCGCTTCTCCATGGATCTGGTGCCGAACTTTGTCTCCGTTTCAGATCACTATCGAGTGGAATGAACCTGTTACATACGGGGATGTTTGCATCCGGGGTTTTCAGGTTAGTTTCCTTATAGTTTACAGAGAACCACTCCTCAAAAACAGAGATAGAATTTTGGTGTTGTTGGCAAATCACGACGTGTTGGAAGTGATGACCTGAAAGTTGCGGCCTTGCAAGAAATTTTCTTTTGAGCCAAAATGACAAATGATAGGTTTAACAAATGTTTTTCGACACCAGAGACCACACACTTATATATGGTTCACCAGTCACCTTAAATATATTTTTTGAAATATGTATTGTTTGTATATAAATTAATTCCTTAACAGCCTTTGTACGGAACAACATACCTCAGTCAGTGTACGTAAAAACCCGAAAATAGTGATAAAGAAGACATTGCTAAATGTATTTTAAACTGAACCTGGTTATGTTCGTAGAGCCCTTCAACGTTGTTCTCCGATGAAAAATTTATGATGAGATAATTTTTCCATTTCTCTACATACAGGTTTATCTTAACGACCGTCGCTTGGAGAAATTAGTTGACCGAACGCAAAGACGAGTCACTATCCACTGCCAATCATCCTGGTAAGAATGTCGTGACATGTCACAAATCTACCTCTTAGCTGTGTCACATTGAGATGGAGGTGAAACGCTGTGTAATACTTTAAGTCACAATGTTTTGATGCATATTATGCAAAAAGGGCATAAACCGAGATATAGTCGAGCTAAACACTAAGAATGCTCTCAATTTTAGTAAAGTGACCGAAAAAAATGAATAAAATCACTTAAATCTGAAAATTTACATTTTAAATTAACTTTAGTTTAATGTAGATCAACAAGAGATGACTTTAGCTGCTGTCTGTATATAAGGGTTTCTCATTTTAATTAACTTCAGTCTTTCGATATGAAAAGTGTTATCTTCTCACCTCGGGGAGCTTAAATTGAATAGCAATTTAAAATTGTTTTCCGTAGTTGCTTAGACAACAAATAGAATTATTTATTATCTTGCTTTTACTCCTGGGAATTTCGTCTTCCTGTCCATGTAACTACACTCTACAACTCAGTCGCCGAACGACCATCTTTCGATTGACTTGCGTTAATATCAAATTCTTGGTCTCGTCATTCCAAGATTAGAGAAGGTGAAGTGTAATTTGAATGTGACCCTTGTATGATTTTGTTTTTTAGTGATGTACATCCATACCTGTTTGTGTTCGTGTTATCTACTTTTATGTTTAATCGTACTTTATGGATTTTTTCTGTTATATCAAATGTGTTCTTTGATGATATAGTAGAAAACCTTTCGAGAACATGTACATGATATTTTAAGGAAGCATCAGTCAAGTTTTCAGGCATATCATCGTAACACATCAGCGACCGAACACCTCGGTAAATAAATTGTGCTAAACACCTGCTTGAGAATTTTTTTTTTCGTTTAATCTCCTGTTGATAAACTTGCATCGTGTTTTATTTAATCCCACGCGCTTAGCTCTCCGCTTAAACGAACTTAACTTAAAAAGCGCTATGAAAATCTCGAGGCAGCACAACTTGTTTTTGTGTTTGGTTACTAGTCTTCAATATCTTTAGGACTTATTCTTTATATCTGCTACTGTTAGGGTTAAGTTTGAGCAATAACTTCTTGGACATGAATAAAAATAGTTTAGACATTTATCGCGAGTATTTCTAAAGTTTGTTACAGAGAATTTGTACTTTCTCTAAACGATCAGTTGCTTTATTTTCTGATGTACTACGATGAATTTTTTACACGCGTTATAGAAAATCTAGCGATTGATCTTTGATACGTGTTGATAGCTGCTGTATCTTGTTTTATTTCCCTCCAGTGTGTACCGTGTATCGCTCGTAGCTCTTGGATCTGATCCTCAGTATGGTGACTCTCCCCCGTCCAATGTCCTGAAGCTCTGTACTCCTGTTGCTCAAGACAGCTTAATGAGACGTAGACCTTCAGGGGGGGTCAGACGACCATCTCTTGACTTCACAGTTAATGTTTTATCTACTTCAAATACAAGCATCTCATTCGAATGGACTCATCCCCCGGAAATATGTAAGTTTCTGTCTGACTACTACCATATGTCTACACGTGTGGGTGTATGCGCAGTTCTTTAAACGGCAACAAGTTTATCCCTTAGTATTGAGAGATGTTGCCAGTATATATTTGCTCAAATTTACGTCATATTTGCCTACAGAGGGAAAATTCCGATTGAGACTTAGACGCTCTTAGTCGGCTACATTTATTCACCTCGAGTTGTTGCGGAAGTCTGGTTTCTGATAAGCTATTGTGATTTGTTGGGGTTAGGGTTAGGGGGATGGGGGCGTAAGTGATGCAATACTCGTTTAAAATAGGTTCTTGTGCATCTCTCTCCTCTCCCTGGATCGAGGATTATAGAGCGAGGACCTCTATGGATGAACGATAAACTTCCCTCACGTGTAAAGCCACGTGACTTTCATTGGTTTCTTCTTTTTGTAAAGCTTACACGAGTACAAAGGACCAGGCCACAACCGTTTGTTTCTTTGATGGAGTTTTGAATCCTCCTGAGGCAAAAGTTTCCTGGCACAAAGAAGAAATTGCAGACATTTTTTAATTCTGTGTAACCGTTCTTTTTCTAGGGGATACCGCTGATCATTATGTCATTAAATGGAGCTCTGTTCTCCAACCGCAGGTTAGAATGCACCAGTTAATGTTTCGTCTCGTCAAAGGCTATTGTTTGCTCCTTATTGCGGTTAGTTTAGAGGTCAATAGTTTGTTTTTTGTACCTTTTAGGCTCAAGAGCTAACATTACCATTGACTCGGACCTGTCACGTGGTTGAAGACTGTTCTCCAGGAACCAATCACTTTCTTGTTGTTGCAGCCGTGAATGCTAGTGGCGGCCTGGTTTCCAGGTCAGAGCAGTATTCATTACAAACGTTGGCTCCTGTTCAACAACCTGTCCTTAAATTGAGGTATTCTCTTTGTTAGTGATTGGATTGCTCCCTAAAGACTCGGGAATGTTTGCTTAGTAAGGTCTTGTTCTTTCTTTTGACAGATTTTGTCGTCAGGCGAGTATAACAATTGAATGGAGCAAGCCAGCTACTTTTGGAGATGCTGAAATTGATCACTACGAGCTTATGGTATGTTCTTATGAGTTATTTAACAAATCTCTATAGTATCTATTGAGTGTGTTTATTTTGTTTTAATTATAATGGCTGACATCATTTCTCACCATATGCAGAAATTTCTCACATTTCTTTGGGGCGGAAGGTTCACTAGGTAACAGAATCCAAGTCGAAGTTTGCTGAACCTTGTTCTTTTCATTTTCTTTTTTTTTTCTTTTAGGTCAACAGCAAATCAGAAGCACAGCTGGATGTTGAGTGTAGTGAATACAAGTTTAACACCTGTGATCCTTGCCAAGTGTACACATTTGTTTTAAAAGTAAATTATTTTAAAAATCCTTGGAAAATCTTATGTGATTAACTTTCCTAAAGGTTCATTTCTTTTGCCTTTTAGGCAGAAATTTTAAAATATGAAATTCACGATGAAATCCTTTTCTCTCCCTAGGCTCTCAGCACTAAACCAACCTGTGATAGCAGCTGGTCGGAGCCTTTGGTAGTTACGTGCCCTGGTTCTGAGAAGCCTCAGATCACTAGGATCCAGTCTCAACAGGTCAACTGTATAAGTTTAGGATGGAAGCCACCACTTCTCAAGGGTGGAGCTGTGTTGGATAGTTACAAGGTGATAAAACTTGACCTTTCTTTCATGAGTGTATTATAGCATTGGTTGTTTTATTACAATATGCGAATTTACATGTGTCTGCTTCCCTACGTTGGATTATCATGTTCACTTTGTTGCTTTTTTTAAATGTAGCATGCACACACATTCTTTCTAATGTGCGTCCCAATCTGTTTGGGTATTTGGTGTTAGGTTTATTACCTAGAAGATAATGGTGAATTGGTGACGAGTGAAGACCTCAAAACAAATAAAGAGACAATAAAACATGGTCCACTACCCAGCCAAACTGAAAAGGATGAACTTCTTCCTGTGTCTCCTGACCGTCACTACTGGGTCATGCTGCAATTGGAGCTCTTACCAGAAGATTGCCGGGAAGTTTGCTCTGAGCCAATCAAGACACGCGCTGCTGTGTCGCCTGACCCACCTCTGATTAGTTTAGAAGTCGAGTGTTTGGACGAGAGGAGGAGACTGGAGAAGATAATATGTGAACTGACTTACAAGCGAGACAGGTAGAGTTTTATTAGTGAATTGGGTTTGTGACAACATTTTAGTAACAAAGACTTCTATGTCTTTCCTTCATTAGGCTTCAGAGGATGGTTAATTTATTGGAAAACAGCATTGTTGTAAAAGGATCTAAGGAAAAAGATGACAAGGTAACACATTCCGTTTATTTTAGATTTCCTGACACGACCATGTCGTGTCATTTTACTATCGACAGCTGCGAAAGCCTCAGGATTGGCAATCATGTATATTGAAATCTACAAAGTAATTAGATGATTATTTTACACTCCGTTACAGATTGCTGAGGCCACCAACTCTATTTTGGAAATTCATTCAGAACTCTCCGACGCACTAAAAGATATCAAAGAATTCACAGGTTAAAAATCTACTCCTTTTCATATTTATTACTATGATCAATGTGGTTTGTGACTTAAGAGAGAAGTCTTTGAACTCGATTGTCTTAACACAAAGTGTGAGCTGAGAAATATGATGTTGGGGAATCACCAACGTTGTGATTAATATTCCCTGGTAAGTATATGTAAATTGCTCGCTGGTCATCATATGCTTTTCTTGTATCTAGGATCTGTTTCAACTCTTATAAGATGGTCTAGACCACGTGACGATGGAGATGCAGTTGTGAGCGGTTACCAGGTTTTTGTTGATGGGTTCCGTTACGGCAAGATTCTATCACAGTGGAGCTTAGAAACCCGTTTGAAGGTATTTTTTTTTTAACTAACCAATTTAACCTATGCGGCGTATTTTTATGGCTTACTTCTATAAGCAAGTTTTGTGATGTCGTGAAGGACCTTAGTGTACGTTTGACTAGTTTTTTGGTTTTTTATGCCATCAGTTGTCAGTTGATTGTCACGTGATTGCTGTGCAGACACTCACTGATCACCCAGTTGGACCCAGTTCTCTTTCCAATGCAGTTTCACTGTCTGGTCGTGAATTTGATCCTTTTGTGTTATTCTGTTACTTTGACGTACACAAAAGAGGTGAAAGGTGTGTAACATTTTTACTAATCGAAAGGCTTCATTACCTCGCCACGCCCTGAAATACACTTTTCAGAGGGTTTTGGTCATAATGAGGACTGATAGCCATGTTACTGCCCAGTGATATAAAAAATCAATGTGAAACAGGCTGATTAGAATTGCGGCAAGGATAATTAAGAACTTTTCTTGAGCTATGAAATGATTTAAAATGAATTAGGATGAGTTTTGTGAGTGTGAACAAATGTTGGATTTTGGGAGGGGGTGGGGCGGGGAACTTTGAACCGGAATACCTTGGGTTTGCTCATGAATGAGCCCATAATTTGAGGCTAACTGAACCTCTGGCAGGTGCGATAAACCAACGTCTCAGTAATGTTTAGTATTTGTAAATCTGGTTTTCTTAATAATAATTGTGGCTGTTTTTGTTTCAGTTGGCCAATACATGGCTGCTGTGACTGGGACGATTCTCATTCTTTCGAGCATAAACACAGGAGTCAGTCTTCAGGTCGAGTCTTTATACCACGAGGAATCCTGGCCCGTAGAATTCCTTGTCCTGTGTTTAGTGTAATGGACGTTTTCAGTGCTCTTTGGCGACCAGTAGCTACTCTTGGTCTCAACAGGATGGTTGCTTTGCTGTTTTGGACAAAGTGGTAAAATTCATCGTCATTGCCTTTCGGTTTGTCTATCTGTTTGTCTTTATCGTTCGTCCTGGCTATCTGTGTATTTATCTGTCGGTATGTTGGTCTGCTATAATCTCTCCCTGTCACCGTCGCTCTTTTTTGTTATTGTGTCTGTCTGCTATGTTTGTCGGTCTGGTTTTAAACACTTGCATGTGGTAAACTCCAAGCTTCTTTAGGGGGATAAACTATACTCATGGCAGAAAAACTTATCTGGTAATTTCAGGTGTTTTTCGTCACTAAAGGTCATGGAGTATTTCGTTCAGTTTGCTGAGGAATTTAAGGATGAGGTAGGTGTACACAGAGCGCCCCACCCCACCCTCCTGTTTAAAGCACTCCTACAAATCTTAAATCACAGGGAGGTATAAAAAATACTAAGGGATGGAAATATAGTAGGTACTTGGCGTTAGTTGATACTAGCGTCAACATTTGACTCAAATTCTTGAGTGGCTCGGTTTTTGCGGCTTGGTTGAATCTGATAAAATGGAAGCAAAGAAAGGACAGAAAGCTACGTAGGAATGTCAAATAGAAACCATAAGCGGGAATCACAACATGAGGTTCACAGACTGGTGTAATATCGTTATTTCTTGTAATTTTTCTTTTTTTCGTTCACTTTTAGTTCTCATTTGTCGCATGTTGTGTGCGAAGTGAAGAACCAATTGCATCTCATCGCCAGGCTCTTGCAGACATTTTGACCGAACGAGGATGGCACAAAGGTGGTAACTGCGTTACACACACTTGTGGCTGCCATTCCCAGAGTAAGCGGACTCGCAGTGCACGTCGAGGTGCATCAAGTAGCCCGGATGTTTGTCAGTTGTTTGGCCTGGTTGGAACACCCACACTTTTTCTGTTGGACACCTCAAGTAAAAAAATAAGAATACTTTTATGTTGTATATTTTAATGGTATATGGCACGCAATAATTAATTGTGCTCTTCGTGTGCGCAGATTGCTCATCTCTGGAGTGATAAGCTAAAACTATTGATGTATCATTGAGGCCAAAAAACCTTTTTTAAGCAACGCACTATATGGGAATTTCACCTTACAACGAACACATCGTTTTTTTTGTTTTTGACGCTGCAACGAAGATTACCTGTGCAGATACGCAGATACACACGCAATAGTAAATTTTTTTGCTTTTCGTGTGCGTTGATTGGTTCTCTCTGAGGTGATCAGCCGGTACTGTTGACTTCTTTTATTGAGGCGAAATGTCGTTTTTAAGCAACGCACTATAGGAGAATTTCACATTACAACGAACACATGGTTTTTTTGTTTGTTTGTTTTCTTTTTTTTGTTTTGTGACGCTGCATCGAAGATTACCAGTGCAGATACGTTGAAAGTTTAACGAATTGATAGGATTATGTTCAACTTTTATTACAAACTAGAGCTAAAGCAGTGATAGAAGTGTTTCATTTCCATTTGTTTTCAGGTTACATTTCATGGCACGGCCGCTGTTCTTGTCAGGACGCGTCAAGTTTTCGCTTATTTCTTTTGCACATCTTTTCTCAAGTAAGTCAGACTCTCTGCCGAGTGTCCAGTTGCAAGTACTGTGAAAGCGACAGAGAGTATGAACAAGAAACCAATAGCTCTGACGACGAAAAAAACGCCGAAAATATTGCAGGTCAACAACATAGAGAATCATCTGAGCTGAAGTTTTTACATCAACGACTTCACGGAACTAAATCAGACAGCGCTTCCTCAGGGACACTTTTGGTGCCTGCAGGCTATAAAAAGGAACGTGCCAGACCAAAAACAACCACTGCTTTTGGTCGCTTTGCAAGTTCATCTAGTTACAACAGCTTAAGAGGGTTTGTTGAACCGTACAAAAGTTACCCCCGTTCTTTTAGTGCACGTGGATTCATTCATTCATCCAATCAGAATGACACTGGAGGGTCGGAGTCATTAGCAAGGAAACATCGTTCTGGCACTCCGCAAACTAGTAACCAATCCCCTTCTGGCAGACTCGCGCTCCCGGTTATTTCCCGGCAAAGAATAAAGAGATCTCATCCACAGGACCGAGGCTCAACGCCAAAAGTAAAAACGAAGATATCTATTGATGATTTTGATCTCTGTTAGAAATTATCTCCAGAGAAAAATAGAAAAATTTGACAGAATCGTATTGAGCTCATTACGAGGATAAACATACATCAAAGACGCAATTAAGATGTTTTGTAACAAATAATATTTAATGAAACCAGTAGGAATTTCTGACCAAGTGAAGGGTTAGGGTGACTGGATATTGATTGAAAATAGAACGAGCTACATCAATCTCAAACAGGTTAAACAGATTTGGTCAGCTTATACCGTCAGACTTGGTCAGACTTTTTTCAGCTTATATGGCCAGTAGATGGCACGAAACAACTACACTTCTCGGATCAATATCAGTGTCTGGGCAACTGCCCACCTTCCCCTCCCTTAACCCAACATTAACCCTGACTTGTTATCAATTGACTGTTGTTGAGTTAGGGGAGAGGTAGGTGGGCAGTTGTCCAGATACGGATATTGATCCCACTTTTCTTAGGTAAGTCCCACTTTTAGTTTAAAATTGTTTAGAAAATTAGTTACATTTTATTTATACAGAGATAACTCTATACTTTCGTCCTGGTGACGTTAAAAGGCACAAACGTATTTTGTTTACTCTAAATGAGCGTTTTTGTATCAATCTATTTACTTATTTTGATTACACTAAATCCGTGTTTTTGTATCACTCTATATTTTTTTTGTTCACTCTATATGAGTGTCTTTGTATCTATTTAGTCATTTTTTTACTCTAAATGAGCGTTTTTGGAGCAACGTACGTCACCATGAAGACCGCGGTTCGCGGAGACGGACGCATGTTTTTTTAAGAGGGAGCGTGTTTTGGAGCGTGTCTTTAAGCCTTTAATTCGGCTGAAATTAACTGGAGAGCGCTTGGAGAGTTAGCTGTTAAGACGTGCGCATGCGTAAGAAAAGTGGTCAACTTTGGAGGGTATAATCATTGCCGGGGCGCGTTTTACGTGAGAATGTGCTTCAATATATGAAAGCATGCATAAGGGAATACAGTAGGAACAGTAACAGCATGGTAAGTTCAAACAGGTTGTGATAGTCCAATTATATGGATTTTTCAAAAAAAAAACAAAAAAAAACAGACATGGGACAGCACAGAGAAGTACTTTTGTGGAGTTGGAAGTTTTATGATGCAAGCAGTACCAAATGCCAAAGGCACTAAAGCGTCTTAGAACTCGTTCTGCACAGCATGTGGGACCACAAGTTTTAATGCAATGGGGCACATTTCTGGAGCGCGGCCATGAAGGGAGACTGAACCTTTCCCAAGGGATGAAATAATAAAAAAAAGACTTGCCAATTAGAAATATTCCTGTGCACACTCTGGGGGTTGTGCTAAAAGGCCAGGGCAATGTATAATTCTATATCTTTTTTGTAATTGTGATTTTGGAGTAGACATTGTTTGAAGGAAAAAAATAGTAAAATTTATTCCAAAATTATGTGCAGTTTTGCATTCCTTTCCATGTAAAATGTCCCCTATAAAAGCAGTTCAGATGAATGTTGTTCTCTTTAATCCACTAAGGTTATGCCAGTACAAGCTATACATAGATATGTTTTTTCTCAACAAAACTGGAATTTCATATCACTTGTGGTCTGGCAAGTTATACAGTAACCTGCAAGCCAACCAGAAAACCCTCTGGTTTCTGGCATGGGTCAGAGCTGTTGAAAAATTTACTTGACTTTGCAGAAGAAGATGAGCTCTACCAGTTACAGATGACATCATGATCATCAAAACAGGAAAGGAACTCGTCTTGGTCCATTATTTTAACCTGTACATGGAGCCTGTCACTTTCCACTCCACCTGCTTTTGGGCTGACAGTGATGATGGCGTATTTCTGCAACGATTTACTTGATAAGATCAGGCCTGTATCCCACATTTTCGTCCCAGCCTTTTCTACATGTTTTGAGAATCCAATCGTGTTCATCATCATCTGGTGGAAAACAATAATGATAGTTTCACTGTAGATAGTTTGAGTAAAACAGATCAGCTGCAAAAATTCAACAATTTCTGGTAAAGGTAATGAGTGAGTAGGAAACTGACTTTGGTTTGCTTTTGTATCAAAAACTGTATATAATGATGGTGCTCATTTACTCACTAACCTGCATTTCGAAGAAACTTGTGATCATAGTCAACAACTACTCTGGATACAGGGTTGTAAAAACCATCGCCACAATCATAGCAACCTTCTGGAATCTCTCGAGGTGGAATACGATTTGTGAGCTGGGATCGCCCTACAGGGAAACAGAAAGAACATTATTACAAAAAGGGAATTTCCTATTCCAAACCTTGCATGTGCATTTAACAATAGTAACAATGAAGTACCTGCTGGCTTAAGTCCATGGCAGATCTCTGTATAAAATCTTCTGTCATATCCATCGCAGTACTCCCAATCCTCTGCATCATATTCTAAGCCATCAGCAAATGTATATTTACCCTGGAAAGTATGTACCACAAACTCTGCATTATCAGTTTGTTGAGCTGGTGAAAAGCTTAAAATATTTTAGTTTAACCCACCCCACTCCCCTCCAATGTGAAGGCAAAAGTTGGGAGAGGAGAGGTTCAGGGATGAGAAACCGTTCAACCTCAATTTCTAAAGCAACTCAACAAATGATTCAGAGCATTTTGATGGCAATTTTGTTTTTCTTTGTTTTAAGTTCTTTCCAAGTTGGTTACAATGTTAAACGTACCTCAACAGCAACTCCTTTCTCCCATTTTCCAACATACTTGCTTCCATTTGAGAAAAACAAAGTGCCTTCCCCATGAAACCTTAACCAAAATTAGCACATTTCAATACAAGAAATTTAATTCAAATTGTGACACTATAGAGAATGAAATGCAACAGATAAAGAGGTATACTACATTAATCACTATAGCTACTGATTGATCACAGTATGAAAGGATTGAGATTTAATCCCTGTAATCAGTAAAAGAAACAAATCTTTTACATTGAATCCAAAATCAAAACTGACAATATTTAGAAAAAATTATATCTAGGAACAACATTGAACAAGTAATGGAAAAGACAATGAAGGAAAATGCTGGAACTCAGGACTTTCGCCTGGAGCAAATGTTCGGAGTGAAAAAAGAACAATCAGTTCTAAGAATGCAACATCTTAATTGGCTCCCCACTGGTAACATGTTAAATAAAGATGAAAAGAAAGCAAGCAAGCAAGCAAAATTACTCAACATAGCAAATAAGTTTCGTGCGTCACACTTTGTCACGCTATATTGACAAGTGCGTCATTCATAAACGTGCGTGACGTCAAACAAACTAATTGCAAATAATTTTTAGTTCTCGATTATTTGATGAAAATTACACAAAAGTAAAAACTGAAAAGAAGAGATCACTGAAATTTACACTAGCTGACTATAACATCCGTTACCGAAAACGCATAAATCGTTATTTAGGACACGTTCACTTTGACATCCTTAATGAATTTATGTGATGACGACAAAACCACTCAAAGTAACGGCAACCGCTTACCAGGAACGTCTCCCAAAAGGAAAAAATAAAATGAACTTACATTCCATCGTTCATTTCGCCGACGTATTTTGTTTCAAGTGACGGAGGCAAAGTGTATTCCGCTTGACCTTCCATTCTGGAATTATGAACACAAATGTGATTACTATAGCTAGTTTGAGAACGATGCAGACAATGCTACAAAGTAAAGGTATCTTAACCTTCCATTTTTTATATCCCCCTCGTGATTGCTGCCAGTGTATTCCATTTTATGGTCTCCAGAAGTACATAGACCGCGAATTGTTTTCCAAAATGGCGGACAGTGGTAACTTGCTGCTATAGCAACGAGAGGAGCCCACAGTTGTAATCAGCGGTGAGAAGCACGTGACAGCATTATATAATATTTTTCCATATAATTTAAATATATTGGCTCTTGATCGGTTTTCTGTTGCTGAAGAATTAAGACTCGCTTCACTTTCTAGTCGGTTATTATTTGACTTCTCCAGGCTTCACTGAAATATTTTGTCTAAAATGGAGGACATGTCAATGGTTCAGACACTGAGGATTTGGAAAGATGGCGTGACTTTCATGGAAGAAGGGAACTTTCAAGATGCGCTTATGAACTTTATGGCCTTAGAAGGGAGAACGGATTCTTCTCAGCATCTTATCACTTCAGGAAGAAATCTGTTCAACATTGGACAAACGTACTTAGCTCTTGGAAGAATGGATATGGCAGCAAAGGTACTTTTGGGTTTATTGAATAGATATCTCGACTTCCTCAGTCTAGGTGTTAAATACCGATAGTTTTCATTTACTTTAGGTAAATAACTGATGATCGTGACTTGGTCAATGAGCCAGTATAACTAATCTTGAAATTCTCCCTGTTCCTGTCACGCAAATTACAACCATGATTTTGCTGCCCTTTGAAGCAAAATATTTGTTTTAAAGAGTTGAAAATTTTTATGCTGATTTTCCAAAATGTGCGACATGTTTTCAATATTATGTGCAAATATTGTTTATTATACATTGATATATTTGTTTTATAAATTATATTGTAATAAATGAAGTTTTGCTGAGTAAGCGGGGTCAAACAAGTTGTCCTCTTTTAGAATGTACTTGCTTGTAATGAGGTGTACGCGCGGATGAATTCATGGATATTAGTGTAATAGTCGTTAATAATAACCAAAAACAATTTCGAAATAAGATCCAGTAGGAGATTCTCTAGTAGAGGTAAATCGATACCACGGGAGATGATTTTGATCTTTGTATTATACGACCACAGATTGTTCCATTAACTTAATGTTGCACCGTTGCACTTTGCATGACTGACTTCTTCCTAAGGGGCCTTCTTGGACTACAAGGCGCTAAAATAATCAGGATTGAATATTTTTGATATTACACTCATATACCTTTAAAAGAATGTTTATTGTCTGCTCTAAATTATTGCAGTGATAGGCATTCTTCATAAAGAATTGTTGGGGAAGGCAATCAGAATTTGCTAAGGGCAGACTGGAATGGAAATTAGACATGCATGTGACCAATTATGTGAACAGATGAAATTCTCTCATAAGTAAATTATACAACTAGTCTTTCTCCAAGTGTTTCTCCTTTATCAGTAATCATTCTACATGACTTTTAACTCCATAATTAACAATTTTCAACAGCTTTTAGCAACTGGCTTTCAGTAGTTATGCAAAGTGTTTGTCAGTCAACATCAAGACAATGACAATGGAGTTCTGATGAGAAAAAGGCTGCAAAAGCTCAAATTTAATCATTTCTGTGGTTAAATGCACACTGACATTAGAATGCTAAGTACACTATTGATCTCTATTGTCTATAAACCAACAAGATGAAAGAGGTATTAACAATAGTACCTGGAATGAATCTAATGATCTATGCAAACTATAACATGTCTATCAGCAAATTTTTCTCACCATATTGATGTAATTATTTGCTATCCTTGACTAATCACCCCATTCAAGGTTTCAGGGAAATCTGGAGGTTTTCAGGAATTAAAAAAAAATTCATTGGTCATGTATATTTCAGGACACTTACCATCCACTGGTTTATAAACTCATGAATCACGCTTGTCTTTCTGTAAAATTTTTGCTTTAAATAATGAGTTTGGCTTAATCACATGTACAAATCAACCTTTTGCTACCCTCTCAGGTGGCCATGATATTGAAATTTTTACAAACATGATACAACCTGATGTAAAATTAAATCCCATTACTTCTACCAAATGAGACATTAAATAAATTTGAACATGTCTCCAATTTTACTGTCAAAGGAAACATTTCCTTAAAATTATTTCTAAGAAATGTAAAGTTTGATAATTAGGTGCCACCCTTAAGTTAGCACATCATGTACATTTTACCACCGAGGTGCAAAACAAAACAAAAAAACTTAACAGGGCTGAGTGGTTTAGATGTATCACATTACACTGTAGATGCAGAAGAAATTGTTTTCACATCACCAAAAAAAATGCTCACTTTCTAGATCTAGGAAGTGTGTTCTTCACCATTTCTTTTACGTAGGGAATTAAAACCAAAAAAAAAATCTTGCATGAAGAATTCAATCTGCTGGAAGCATGCAACCAACATATACTGTCTCTGTGAAACCCACCAAACCCAATAAGGTTTATTCACTGTTTTATTCAATGAAATTGTTCAGGTGCAGTAATAAATGATGATACTGTTCATTAATGATATTCCTTTTCTTGTGAAGGCTTTCGAGGAGTCTGTAGAAAAAGACAAAATGATGGCAGTTGCTCATTTTATGTTGGGGAACATCAATTTGTCTTTGGACAGGTAATATCATAAGATACTTAAGGAAATTCATGAAATACTTTTACTGCATTGATTTCATAGTAGTGTAATTGATTATAACAAGGGTAGAATAGAGCAAAAAATGATGTAAGTTCTGGTAGGTTTTGTCAAATGATGCTGGAATAAATCAAAGTAGCCTACATGTACAGGAAGATCTGACATTCAAATTGTATTTTGATAGCTGTTCTCCTTAATTGTGGAAACTTTTCCTTTCATTTGTACTACAATCCATTCCAGGGCAGGTAATTTTGTACAAACAATTTGGATGGTTGTATTTCTTTTTTTTATTATTGTTTACATGAATGGTTGGATTGAATTTTCCATCAGTTTTAATTAGTGTACTGTCTGATGCAGGCAGCATTCTGTTGCCATATAGAGTTGCATGGTATGTTGGCTCCCAAGGAGAACTAAAGCAAATGCTTTCATCCAAAGCCAGGCTCTACTTTATAACCTGCCAGGTCTTAAAAATGGTTCTTTTATACAGCTATTAATCAATGCAAATTAGGAGTAGGATTTGGAGATTATTTTGAAATTCCATTATTGTTAGTAATAAATGATTTTTTGCAATTATACAACATGAACTGTTTCTTTTGATTCTCTTGTAGGAATGAGAAAGCGCTGACAAACTTTGATAATGCTTACTTCTATTTGCGTGGAAACAAATTGATTAATTATCAACAACTTGGATTGAAAGCTAAACTCTACTTATGTGAGGTATAGTTCATTACACATGCCAATCTTGTTGAAGGAACTTGGAGCCTAAGTACTGGACAGGTGCTATCTTTAGTTGAAGGCAGTAGATTTCAAGCTGCCGCAGGGAACAGTTATTGAAAAATAGGGTCTGAAAACAAGGAGGAATGATTTCTTATTGAAATGGAGATAAACTTGTCAAAATTTAAATTTCTGTGGCAGCATGAGTACACAAGTTCATTACGTTTATTGATTGATGATAATTCGGGTTGGTGGATGATGAGTAATTATTCTTTGAGACAGAGTTTGCATTTTTTGCTTGTGCTGCTGTAAGGTGATCTTGATGAAAGGATGCTCCATGAAATGAAGTGGTTAACGTTATGTTTGCTGAATTTGGTAGAGTTTCTGTGTTCTATGTGTTGGAATGATGTGGTGTGGTTTCTGTATCTAGTCATGAAGTCGTTTTCTTTAAGTCCAATTTATGTTTCAGGGGTGCTGTTGTCCTTATGTGTGATGGTGACTTGGTAGATTAGAGATGATTGGAGGCAGTTTCCATTAAGTGGGCATGTGTTCATTTGTTGGCAGTTGCAAGTTTTGGTGTCTTTTGTGTTGGTGTTAACTGCAGTGTCATTGATGTGTTTGGATGAATTTAAAATGTGTTTGTTGTGGTTGTCAATGATCAGTACTTAGTGTTAATAATGCAGCTGTTACTGATCTTGATTGTACTACGATTAGAGATTTTTCCAAGTTTGTGATCTTTCGGGAAGTGCTTTTCTACTAGGGCAAGGAATCTGTGTCCAATATTGGTGCTGATGTTTTTGCTGAATGGGGGGTTGTACCAGAGTATGTTGTTCCCATGTCTGTTTTTTTGTTTGTTAGTTATGGGTGGTTTGTGTCGAGTGTACCAGTATCCGCATTTGTCTAGTGCTTTTTGGTATGGAGGAGCAGCTTAGTTGAAGGATGCTTTGTGGGATGAAAGAGATGACTGTCTTTTGTGTATGCCGGTGGGTATGTTCTTTGTGGTGGTTGGTGGGTACAACAGCGCAAGCAAAAGATGCAACCTCTGCCTCAAAGAAAAATTATTCATCATCTGTTGATGCAAATTATCATCTCTCAATAAATGTAATGAACTCGTGTCCTCATACGGCCATGGAAACAAAATGCTACTGCGTAACAACTGAACTAAGCATCAAAATTTACTGCCACACCTATTATGCAAATTTGTAAAATATGTATTAAATGATGGTATGAATATTCTTAACAATAAAACCCCCTGATGAGTGAGTAATCACGAAACAGGCTTGTGGGGATGAAAGTATAGTCTCTCTGTTTTTTCCCCTATCACAATATATATATATATATATATATATATATATATATCACTATATGTTATACTGTAACATACATTTTATTTCACCCTTGTTACCTCTTTACCCAATTTTTTTATTCTCTTCCAATTAATCTTGTTCTCATTAATCCTCACCTTTAATTTGTAGGTAGAACATTTATGAGGTAGAATACAAATTTGTTCTTTCCATTTAGATCCTAGCCAACCGGGCTATTGCACACTCCAGGTTGGGTGATGTTCAAGAAGCCAGAAATGATTTTTTGATGGCTTTACAATCCAAGGTGGAGCCACGACACAGTGTTATAGAAGACCTACTTCTCAACTGGCAGGTAATGCACTGTGTTTTACAGTAAGTTTTTTATATAAGGTGTTAAAAGTGTTAACACTAGGTGTATAACTGACTGGCTGTCTAACCATACAGACTAAATGACTAATTGATTGACTGACAGACTACATTGCAACTTTCTGACTGATTGATTGAACTGACTGACCAAGTGGTTGATGTACTGACTGAGTCACGTAATGACTAAAGGGGGAAAGGTTCTAAAGAAACTGTGGTGCTGTGTCGCTGGGAGAGTATAGTTTAGGGTAATTTAATATTATCAATGAGTTGATTATCTAAATTGGCCACCGCATTGGCTCGCCCACAGACTGTTTTATTGACTGACTTACTGTTTATCTGTCTGACTGACTAATTAACTGACTTGCTGACTTACTGGCTATTTGTCTGACTGACTGACTTGCAAGGTGACCCATTGACTGATTTACTTGTTTACAGATTAATTGCCTAACGGGTTTACCACATAGCTCACTGACTGACCAACTTACCCACTGCATTACTGGCTGGCTCTCTGACTGTCTGACTGGCTGACTTACTGGCTGTCTGTCTGACTCACTGATTAACTAACTGACTGCCTTGCTGACCAGTTGACTAGCTGATCGAATGGCCAACTGACTGGCTGGCTGTTGTACTGACTACATGTATTTGACTGCCAATTTGACATGATGTCTGTCTGTTTAGACCTTCCATTACCTTTTCTCTCTATGATAAATGTACATTTTAGTAAGATGCCCCGTCTCTTATCCTTCAGTCTGGACAAGACACAAAACCCATGAAGATGCCATCAAATGCGGTCTTTCAGCCACAGAAACGCCATATTGATGCCATCAGCGAAAAGCGTGATTTCTTGGGGCAGTCGAAGGTAAGTAGAGAAATAAGGTTGAGGAACGCTGTCCTCGATGAATAGGAAAGATTTTCATTGTTGTGTCAGGAGCCCATGGGCTCCTGGTTGTGTGGATAGTTCAAATTACTCTTCATTTTTCTGTAGAAATTGAACTCATGATTTTCCATAGCCTGGTGTAATTGGCACTTAATTATTAAATAATGAAGAGTGCGTCAGTTCGTGTTGAGCATAATTCGATCTTCACTATAATAATTAAAACTTCATTCCAGTGTTAAACCATGTAGCCTAGGAGAAACTCCTACTAAAAAGGGGACACAGAATAATTCAAATAGAAGAACTTAGACTAAAACATCTACACTAAAATATGAACATGAAGCAGTTGAGAGAGTGTGAATAGAAATTCTCACTAAGTATAGTCGGTCTGAAAGTAACTTTACCGCTTTACTAACTTTTCCAATGTTAGGTCGTTGCTGAAAATGAAGTCACAAAGTTCCCCAGTACTCGCTCAAGAACCTCCACGGTATGTTTTTACTGGTTACTGTAGTTTCACTTTCTTCGCGCGAGATCCGTTGTATTTAAGAAATTTTTTAAAGCTCATGTTTCTACATATGATTCATTATATTTCATAGATCCATAAATCGTTACTTTTTATCTACTATAATTATTATGAAATCATGACACTGAACGGTTTTCTAGATTCTTAAGAGTAACCTAACCTTTTGAAAATTGTCTTCAAACGCTCTGTAAAGCCCAGTCCGCGGATGCCGTCATTGTACCACTTGTTTGGGCTTATTTTTACATCCTTTGGTGATCTGGTACAATTTCATGAAAAGGCATCCTTTTGTCTTGCGACTGGTAGCTTTCTGTGAATCAAGCATTGCGGTTCGGTTCTGCAGGTGCGTCCAGGTAGCGGAGTTGTTTTTGAAATGGTTGTCGAATTTATAGCACGTTTGAAAACAAATTTCGAATGGTTAGGTTGCTGAGAAATCTTAAAACTAAGATGGGTTGTAAATTTGTATTTATGCTTTAAATGACTGAGATGAAAATGATACATTTTTCTGAAACCTACGTCCCCTTTAACATGCATGGTTGCATATGGCTGCTTAGTTTTTAGCAGTATTATTGTACCTCATACAATGCCCTGGTTCCTCATGCTCATTCTGTTTTTTAGACTCAGCCTCCTTCTCCGTCTCTTCTCAAAGATGCAGAAAATGAACAATCTTCTGAACAGCACCCCCCTGAAGCTGGACAGGTGGTATGTAAGAAGATGTTAGTAGATATGTTAGTCTTTTTTTTTTGGGGGGGGGGGGGGGGGGGCTACAGGAATGAAGCAGTCGTAACTGACGTCTCGATACACAGTGTTATCATGCAATCATGTATTATGTCACCAACCTGCTTTATACTGTTGAACCTCCATTGAACAGCAGCTGCTCTGTTGGAGTCCATTAATAACCGACCTAAGGAGTGGAAGGTGTAGTAACGTTAGCATTATTTGATTTTGATCTTACTTGAACGTTTTGGATCTTCCTTGGCGTTAACAACCCCTCCCCCTCCTTACTAATGCAGCACCACACTTTCTTTGGAGACTTACCCCCTTTATTCAGTTTGTTGTTGGTAAGCAACCCCTACCTTACATGGTGGCTTATTCCAAGTTAGCTCTGATCACGTTACGCGTGTAGGAAAATAATGTTTTTTTGGAATATAATTTTCTCTCATGAGTCAGCACATTTACCGTAGCTGTTGACTTTAAAAAAAATCGTCATCGTTATTAGGCTTCAGGAAGACACGCATTGTTAAACGACTTGCGGAAGAAAGAAACTCGTCGTTCACTGAAGAAAGTCTCCTCTCGGATAGAACCACCAAGGAAGCCGCTCCCAGGCATTCCCGACAGGCCAGAGAGTCCTCGTCGTCCCCCGCCTTCTCCGCGCGCTTCCCATACCCCGAGATTTATGGCTGAGTCTCGTTCCCCGCTGCCTCGCAAGAGAGTTAGTAGTCCGTTTAGGCCTGTAATCCAAACTGAGAATAGACGAGCTTATTCTGCGTTTGAAATGAAACCACCTGCCAAGCCCTTACCTCCAGCTCCAAGATCTAAAAGCCCCCTTCCTACACGAAAAATATCGTCGCCAGCCCAATTCAATCAAGAAAGTGACGTCACAGTCAAGTTTCAGTTGGTTCTCACGCGATCTGTTAAAGTGGGCCAATCAGCCTCGGCCCAGGACCTTTTGAGAGCTGCGGCCAATACTTTTCAAATGTCCGAGGATTCCTTTGAATTATGGTAAGACAATTGATGTTATAGATTTACTATAATTTGTAAGTTGCCGACAAATTTTTGTATTTTGTATGTTAGCGTATTTTTGTATGCGTTCCACATACATAGCCTCTTGAAAAGTCCTTAAAAATTATTGAGGTTTAGTGTCCAGAGACGAAAATTTAGAAAATGTTGTGGGTTGGGCGAAGAAAATTTTATGGAACAGAAAATAGCGCCAAAATATGTTATTTTTTGAAGAAAAAAATCCATGCAGTATCCTTTCAGACTCTGTTCTGAACGAAAAAAAATTAGGTGGGAGAAAAAATTGAAAAATAATTGTATACCTGAAAGTCATTAGTTCTTTCTCCATCAAGACGATTCTAATAAATAAATCCATTCCTCACCTATAGTTCCCATTTGTTTTTTACTGGTGAGTCGCTCGATCCTATTCCCGTGAAGTTGAAGGGTTAAGATATGGGACTGGTAACTTTTAGAAAAATTGAACAGTTATCAAAGATTTGTAAAATTCTAGGTTTTTGGTTAATTTTATTCAGGTACATGAAGGACGACCAGCTCAGCTCTCTCCATAATCAGAATGTGGAAGAAATACTCCGGTCGTCAACAGTCCAAACGGTGTTCTGTTACGAAAACAAACCTGAGTGAAAAAGCTTTTTCATTGTCATTTACGTCAGCTAGTTGATCACTCTGTCTGATATTATTCATTTTCAAAGAATCGAGACAGTTATTTAAGTTACTTACTACTTTCATTAAATTACTCAAAGGGCGAGTCACTGTAGTATCGATCATTACTTACATGCACGAGGTACACACATTTTCTCTTTTATGACTGGTTAATTTGAAGTCATGTTTTATGCACCACACCAGACAGAAGTACGCTTTCACTTAAGGAATCTCATTGGCAAGATAAGTTGTTCGATAGCTCATAAAGACGCTTTAAACTTTTCGGTTATCGAGGGAGTAAACTCGAAAAGTTTGAACATCACTCGCGACCAGCTCGTGATTTACAAACTTTGCGCGTATTCTCTCAATATCCCGTGTGAGTTAGCACGCCAGTAAACGTATAGAAAGTGCGGTTTATTTCTGAAATGGACCAGTAAAAAGGTTTCACATAAGTGTTCTGTAGAGAACTTGACTTTCGCTTATCAGTTTCTGTGAGCTTTAAAAGATGACTTTCACTCCGTTCAATCCACAAACCCAGATAATTTATATTTAGATCAGACTAGTTAGATTTCTAACAGTTTACAAAAAGCTTGGAGTTGGTTGGGTCTAATTGTTTTCTTTGTTCTAACTAATTCAGGTGAAGCGGCAATAGGTGTTTTAGTTAACTAAATACTTCGCAGCTGTTGCTTTGGATGCAACGCAACTCTTCCTTGAAAGAATTCTTGAAAATTCATCTACTGGAAGTAAGGTTATTTTTAGCTTGTTTGTTTGTCTTTTGTTGCTTTTTTCCTGGAATGTAGGTATAATTTCTCCTGATCACGTGAGTGCTCACCAGTAATTTTTCGCCTTATTTGTAGAGTTATTTAAAAGTATATAATGAGATGTGACAAAGTGCAGTTCATGTGAATCGTTCGCGTTTCTCTGTGGTAACCTCTATGTAATGCCACTAATAAGGGTGTATTTTTCTTGAAAATGAAATCAATCGAGAGTAAATCAGTAGCAGTATGAATTTTTAAAATCTTCTTGTACAATAAATATTTTTATACGATTAAATGATTTAAATTCATTTATTACCAAGGTGTAGGAAATAAACAAATCTGAGACAGTGGAGGTTCTTCATCTGTTAATCTGAATATTATATATTTTTATTTTTGTTTTTTCCAATTTGTTTCCCTTGATGTCTCCAATTAAGAGGTACTGTCTAACCCCTGTTTGGGGTTTTATTGATTTCGAGGATGTTTCAGTATTGAGCAACATCATGCTCATCTTATTTCTTTGCTGTCTTGGCGACCTACGCGTGTTTTATTTTGCGACTTCGTTCTTGTAAAGATGCTCCAAAAAATGTTTTACGAAATTTAAAACAAACTCCGTTAGCTGGCTTCGAGCAAATACATTTTCTTGCATAGAGCGTCAGGACCAAGAGAGGATCTTATGCCGATAAGGTAACCTCTCTAACTCGCCAGGGAGACAATGAATGTTCTATGTTAAGAGAGCTGCATGCTGCTGCGAGATATAGATCGACAGTCTCTAGGTGCTCCTCGTGTGTTTCTCGCACAATGGCTTTTTCGTCGAGTCAAGTCAATCTTGAGAAGCGGCTGAAATAAAAGGGGCTGGGAAGCTTTCACAGAAACTAAATGAAATATAGTAAAATCTCTGAAACTATTTGTCAGAATCTTAAGTCCTCTCGTGAAAATTTGGTTTTTGATGAGCGAGATAATCGAGAACAATCGACTGACTAAATGACCCAAATACGCCACACTCAGAAGTGACAAATGATAAAGAGCATCATTATATTCAGGGGCAATCCAAACAAACATGGCGTGTGAGTAAATTGAATCTGTTATATTGGGCGGATCATTTCATTTACTACCAATACTCAACATGAAAAAACTCACCACAACGTTGAAATCTTCTTGGTAATTTTTGTTGACCGCAATAGTTAATGAAAGGGATCGAGGCCTGTTAACTATGCGTCCCTTTTACAAAAATGTTATAAACACGGTTTGTCTTGTTTATGACCCAATTTTCTCGTCAATGAATTAATAAAAGGAAAACAACAAATGAACCTGATCGACCTTTGGGCCAAAAATTATGCTGGAGTATTTTTTAATACGTCAGAGCGATTAGGACATCACTTGTTTATCTAACACAAATCATACCCTGCAGTTCCTTGAATGCGTCATTGTAAGCTCTTTAACCAACGAGTACGCGGATAGCGTGTATATCTTTCTTCTGTGGGCGGTTGATGGCGTGATGAGAGCTGGGGCGGCGTTGGAGCCATTTGTTAGGCGTTTCCGCCTAAAGCAACCTCAAAACTGCCCACTGAGAGCAGACGAAGTCGTATGTAACAATATTTGTTCTTAAAGTTTTTAAGTGAGCCCACGTACTCCCATGAAAACTGCTACTGCTCTTGACGCAATGGAAGAAAAGATTTACATCTAGTTAGTTGCTTTAAACCCAAATACCTGAGTGATGCAGTATTTGATGTCACCGTGATTAATTTAGCCTCAGGCTTTTAGGTATTTTTAGTATACCTATTATACTTCAGATGGCAATTGAGACGAGACGTGATTTTTCCGCAAAAAAAAAATTTTTTGATTGATTTCGATCCAGCAATATTGACAAATGACTCCTTGAGAAATTTTCCGTGTTTATTTCGTCGAAGTTTTTAGTGAAAACAATAAAGGGCGAATAGCACGTGATAATATTACATTGAGTAGTTATCATTTTCATCCAGGCCATATGTTACTTTGCATTTAGATTTAAACAGGTTTTTTTCTTTGCATTTGAACTGTGAGACTGTGTGGGGAACGTCTTTATGTACTTTTTTTTTTTTTAAATGAAATCGGAAATTAGGGTATCAAAGTTTTATTTTCCTTTCCGGACTGTAATGTTGTTTTCATCTCGCAAACGAATTTAAAACCGCCGTCAAGCTTAATTAGCTTCAGTGAGTTGACCTTTCCTTCAGACAGTTTTATTGGATATTTAATCACGCAAGCCACAGCCTTTGGATCGGTAGACCTTCAGTTCAGCCCATTGATATCTATAAGGCATTTAATCTACCGTGCAAAAACTTCGGAAACTTGAGTAGCCAGATTTAGGTAAGTGGTTGTTTTGTGTGGCTAAGTTACATCTGAGACGCATGTAAGTTACTCAAACTCCAGACAGGGTCGATCTTTGCTGTCTGTTAAAGATTTTTTCTTTTAGAATTTTATCAGGAAAAAGAGGTTTAACAACTGATATTGGTGAATCTGCGGGGAGGCTACTTGCAGTTTTACGTAGGGCCCGCTTCTGAACGTCTGGGTAACGATTTATTATCAACGACACTTATTTAAGCATTAATGATATGATATGCTTCCCTTCATCGGTAAGTGCAAGCGGCAAGAGGTTGATGGCAACGGTAAACAACAACAAAAATAAAATGTCGTTATACTCAATTTTCTTTTTGTCCCTAAGCTAAAACCTTAAGAGATCTTTTAGATAGGTTTTCACAGTCATCAGTTACGTTTTTACTCACCTCTACAGAAAGCTGGGAGCAGCACAGGTGGCCCAAGCTCTAGCTGTGAGATGATCGTCTTGCGAAATACGAGTCATGGCGAAATTCTAAGAGTTTGCATGGGAAACATGGGCTTTTCTTATGTACGTAGTAAACCTAGAAATGGATAACTCGCTGAAATGGCTTATTTTCAACATAGTAGGCGCTCAGCTCGCATGCGATGCGCTGTGGACGTCAGGTGAGGTGTTTTTTTTATTGAGAATCTGACTGTATCTTTTATTCCTAAGAACGGTCGTAAATATTCCCATAAAAACTCCTAGAATTTCGCAATGACTCTAGCAAGATGATCATCTCACAGCTGGAACCTGGGCCGCCTGAGGGGGCAGCAGCTAACAAGTTCAAATGTACGCGCTTCAAGCAAATATTCGTTTGGGCAAAGCACTTACTTGCTTATAAAATTAAAAGGTAGACATGAACTGCTATGAAAATAAAGAATGCAAGACTGGCAGTGAAATTATATTCACATTCATCCAATAAATTGAAAAATTCAAGTGGCAAAATTGCAAACTTGACGTGGCCGAAAGAATTTAGCCCAGTTAGGTTTGTGTGGTATTGATCTTCATTGATAGACCTGGCCATGACAAAACTAAGTGAACTAATATTAAAACATTGGATCAATTTAATTAAGTGGCTTAAATTTTCGCTGGAAAATAGCAATGGTATTCAAACAGTTTTCATCAAAAGTTTTTTGACAGATAAATTTGAGATTTCGCGCGTATTCAAGGACATTTTAAACCCGTTGATTTAGGTTGTTAATTTTCTCTTATGGAAACTAGAAGGGCCAGATACCCTAATGTCACCTCCCCCTTCCACGCTTTGCCATAACTCATGATATAAATTCTATCTCGTATAGAGCGCATTGTAACATTCTGTTTCTCCATCTTAGTCTACTTTTTCTCTGGTCTGAAAAATAGTTTAGGGTTTGTTGGTGACAGATGGCTTAATTTTTCTACTTGTGTGTCATCAGATGTATTAGAACGAGTTCTAACACCTCTTCTTACCCCCTCATCAAACCAGAGAACTGAAACGTTCTCTTAAAAGGAAAAATATTTTTAACGTCCCCCGTTCCTTTGGCACCCAGCTTTGTGTCAGTATGGGGGACATGTCCATGGTGAAGACTTTGCAGATTTGGAAAGATGGCGTGACTTTCATGGAGAAGGGCAACTATGAGGAGGCACTGACAAACTTTGTGGCTCTAGAAGGAAGGACTGACTCTTCTCAACAACTGATCACTTCAGGCAGAAATCTGTTTAACATTGGACAGATGTATCGAGCTCTTGATAGAATGGAGATGGCAGCAAAGGTAGATATTATATATACCATTTAACCCCTAGTCATGTCTCACAGTTGCTAATTACTTCATTTAAGGTACAAGAATGCAATTATGTCTAGAATGATGTTACCATTGAACAATTTTTTCTCACCATCAGACCTTTGAGAAGTCCATAGGAAAAGACAAAATGTCGGCAGTTACTCATTTCCTGCTGGGAAACACCAACTTGGTTTTGAACAGGTAAGGAACAGTTATCCATGCTCTCTCTCATTTTGGCTGTGTTATCGAACATGGAAGCTTAGTTTAAAGTCCACCTAACACTAGTGTAATTCTCGCCAGACATGATGTTCGTTGCAGTATCGAGGGTTTCCACAAATACGTTAGAACGCTTCCCTACGGATGATTCTGCCTTTTACACTTTATTATCCTCTCTATTGAGACACATCGATTTCTTGCCAGCCGACCTAAGGGTTCTTACGTCTTGAAATTAACAGGGGAGCAGACAAATTATTATATTTGCAAGCAGTATCGCAAGTAATAGAAATCGGATGTCTTAAAAGCACAGGTGAATAGCATTATTAAATTTTTTGTTCCATCAGAAATGACGAGGCACTGAAGAACTTTAATGATGCTCATTTATTTCTTCGTGGAAACAAAGTGATAAATTATTATCAGTTAGGTTTAAAAGCCAAACTTTACTTGTGTGAGGTAAGCTGTTTAGACTTTCTCTTATATTCTTCACAACCATACGCACCCTTCCTTGAAAAGCCTTATTCTTTGTTTGAAGTGGTTCATCGTCTTGTTGTTTCATATTCTTTTTTATCAATATCGTTACTGTACTTACCTTTTCTTTTTTTTTTTTGATTTGTAGATTCTAGTCAACCGGGCCATTACTCAATCCAGACTAGCTGATGCTCAAGAAGCCAAAAATGATTTTTTAAAGGCTCTTCAAGCTAAGGTTGAACCTCGTCATCGTGCAATTGACGACCTCCTTGATTCCTGGCAGGTGGGACTGTACAGATGTGAACTGTTTCACTAGATCCGAAGGAGAACCTTGTTGATTTACTTAGCAAGTTATTGATCGACCTCATAACGTATTGAACAGCAGAATGACTTGCTTATTCATCTCCTGATTATGACTGAATTGCTGACGTACCAATTGTCTGACTTACCGATTGAAGACCTCATTGAGTGACCGACTGACCGACTGGCGAACAGACCGACCAACCAACCAGACAATTGGCTTGCGAGAAGACTGACCAATTAATCGGCTGGTTAACTGGCGAACAGACTGACCAAACAACCAGCTAATTGGCTGACGAACAGACAGACCAAAATGACGCACAAAATGACCAACCAACCGGCTGTTTGACTGGCGAACAGACTGACCAACCAACCGGCTGGTTAACTGGCGAACATACTGACCAAACAACTAGCTGGTTGACTGGCTGTCGAACTGACTCACTTCTCGTCTGACTGACCATCTGGCTCTCTTATTAAGCCGCAAACCGACCAATTCTCAATAATGAATGCTTAGCTGACTGTTGAACCTCCAATGATCCTGAGTTTGAGTTTGGTTTTTGTTTCTGCAGTCTGGAAAAGAAGTGGAGCCTTTTCAGTTACCCTCTTGCGTTGTATATCAACCACAAAAACGTCAAATCGATGCTATTAACAAGACACAAAATTTTTTGGGCCACTCCAAGGTACTATTTATTTAGGGTTTGATGCCAACATGTAACAATAAATTAATTCTCTTTTGAAGTTTTTGTTTATTGAATCTCTTCTCTTTTTGTTTTATGATTCGTTTGCACATATTTCTTTATTTTCTCTATATTTGTGTGGTTTTTATGCAAATTTCCTATTTAGGTTGTTGTACAAAGTGAAATTACCAAGTTTCCTGATTCACGTCCAGAATCAACAAAGGTAACTCTCCAACAGATAATTGTTAATAATATCACTGGAAGGTCTTCATGAATTATCGTGTTTAGTTTCAGCGAAATCATTGTTTTCATAAGAGACAAATATGAAGAGCTTGGTTGCCACTCTTTCGAACGTTTTGAGACACAAGCTCACAAGCTTGCATAATTACACTTGCATAATTACACTTGCATAATTACAACTCATATGTAATTTTTAAACTAATCTTCGTTCACCTAAGAGTCCTTCCAAAGATGTGGGAGATGAACAACATTTGGAACAGCACCAGCCTCCAGCTGACCAGGCGGTATGTAACAACATGATAATATAGAAAACAACCACTTTCAAAGTTAGAAACGAGCGATGCGTTTCTATATCTTGACTGCTTTTATACACGAAAAGTTGGAACATCGGTGATACGCTTTTTGTTTTAGACATCAAAAGGACATGCTCAGCCAAACAGAATCCAAGGAAAAGAATCAAACAGCGTTCTGAGAGACGCTTCTAGTAAAGCAAAGGCCGAAAAAAACCCTTCTCCAGGCCACCTTCAGAGCCCGGTCAGTCCAAGTCAATCTCCAGCTTCACCTGGGGATTCTTCTACAGGAGGCTCTAGGATCGGAAATCGTTCACCTTTTACCCAGAGAAGGAAAATGGAGGGCTTTTCACCCAAGACACCACCGTGGTCTTCAACTGAAATAGACGCGCCTCCGACGAAACCCCTCCCTCCGGCTCCTACAGCCAGAAAGTCAGACTTGACATCAAACAAAACACGTGACGTCACACTGATTCTCACGCGATCTGTTAAAGTAAACCAATCAGCCTCGGCTCAGGACCTTTTGAGAACCGCGGCCAATACTTTCCAATTGTCTGAGGATTCATTTGCATTGTGGTAAGACAATTGATATTGTTTCTACTATGAATTTGATGTTCTGTTCATCTCAAACGCTTTGTTGTTTGATTGGTTTCTCAAAGGAATTAAGATTGGTGCGTAGAGAATTCGGAAAAAATGACGTAAGTTGGAATTAAGGTGACGGGAAAAGAAGAGACTAACAGAATAGAATCACTGATTCATTCTGCATTGTTCCTTATCAATAATTTTAAACTAACACAGATTCCGCTTTGAGGAGGCCGAGTCTGACATTCAATAGAAATAGTTAAAAGAAGTGCTGAATAGATTAAACCCAACAATATTCCGTTTTCTCCAGGAGCATGAAGAACACACAGCTCACAGTTCTACAAGATCAGGATCTGGAAGAAATTCTCCACTCGCCATCAGACAGCAGCCCAAAAGTTTACTGTTACCTAAATAAGCCGAAGTAGATAACATTTGACTGCACTAAGTTGGCTGCTCTCTCAAGCGTCTGATGAACAATATAATATTCTTATATTTGTTGAATGATTGGAATTTGTTATGATCTATAAAAGTAGTTGCACCGAATGGCAGTCTAGCTGGTTAAATAATTTTGGAATGTTCTTGCTATGGTTGTAATCTTTAAATCGAGCGATGTATATATTTTACCTTAACGATCAAGAGAAAAGGGACCAAATTCGTCGGCAGCGTGATTTTTGCGCGGCTTGCAAAGCGGAAAAGAGTACTTCAAAATCGGTAACCGAGTGTGAAATAAGTACTTCAAACAAGGAGGCGGACGGTAGAAATAAACATGAAACATTTTCCCAGTAAATATTTTTCATAAATTTGGATTTATGGCCATGAAGATGGTGTTACAAATTGACCTTTTTACTCTTAATTTTATCGTCATCTTTCACGAGATAAAAGCTACAACACTGCTCCTCAAATGTCATTAAAGCAAAATGCAAATGATAGGTTTTCAAGCTTCACTAAGTCACTGGCTCCAATCAACAGCCTCCTCTTGGACTTTTTGTAATTTCAATATCAAGAGGTCTTTCCACGTCAAGTTGTTCTTACGACAAAGTTGCACGTACATGTTTGCCTCGTAAGAACTTAGCTACTGCTGAGACAGCTTTTAAAAGAAAGGTAGTTTGGAACATTCGGTAAGCAATAAGTCTGCATTTGTATGATGACACAGAACCTAACTGAATTTCTATTTAAGTATCACCATAATGGCATTGATTTGCCTTTGGCCTGATTATGTTCCTTAAGTTCTCAAATATCATGCAATGCACTTTGTTGTTCCTTCTTCTGACTTCTTCCTTATCTGCTAAAAATAACGGAACAACAGAGTCGGCAGATCTTTGACCTGAAAATAGCTTCTGTAAGAGACATTTCATGTTTTCAAATGCAAATGCAAAGCACAGTTTTTTAATTCCATGGCACAATGCGCTTGTTTAATAACGCTTTCGAGATATTTTTAGGCAGATTTATGAAATCGTTTTTGTTAGTACCGTCGCGACATAAAATTGGACGCAAGTATTAATAGTGATTGACTCGGGTCACTCACAGAGGGAGGAGATAAATGAGTTAACAAGAAATCAACATTTGAACTGTATTCGATCAATGGCACGTAATGACGATCAAAAAAGGAAATACGAATTTCTGGCATATTACTGACTTTCCATTTTTTTAATAAATTATGTCAAATTATATAAAGGATCTTGAACAAATAATCATAAGAATTCACATTTTTTATGTCGTATAATTGATAAATCGAAAATTCCTTTCATTATTGAAAGGGAACCTGAATTTCCCACAGCGCTGATTATTCATTCATCTACATCCGCAAAGTATAAACGTGCGTCAGTCAACGCAGAAACATCCCACTTGTTTACACACCCTGTTCTCGACTTCCGCTCTGTAAATAATAAATTTGCTTTCAGTCGTCAAACAAATTTTCGGGTGCACTCAAAGTTCAATCAAATTCACCAACTCGGCTAAAATCCAGTCAAGCTGAAGACAAAGCGAGGTGAGCACAACTTCATCCATTTAATTTACTTTGTCATGGAGCCACTAGTAGTCCGATGGACTGATTAGAAATGTAATTCTTAAACCAAAAGTCGAGACGAAAGGTAGAAATTGTTGTCCAGTGGAAATAAGAGCATCCTTGGATATATTTAATCTAGATTAAAACTGAGGCGGTGAGCGATGAGGGATTCCGGGAACAATTCAATATTAAAACAAAGGTGATGTAGTTTATATTGGAAGCCCTTTGGTCGTCTGTGTTCACACAATGTTACTAAATAATTATTAGTCAGTTCAAAGTGATTGGAAGTAATGCGCGATCAAGAAAGATAACCCATGATAACGAGATCCATCGGGTTTCCTCAGCAATCGCCTCTACTAATAATGCCTGGATGATCACTCAATTAGTTAGTGTTTCACTGTTGCTTTTGTTGTAGTGTTCTGATTGACGCCAGGAAAGCAGTGTTCAGCATTTTATTTTTGCGTCTCATTTCTTAAAATTCATTTGGACATGAAGGAGATGTCCACGGTAGAAATATTGAAGATTTGGAAAGATGGCGTGACTTTTATGGAGAAGGGCAACTACGAAGAGGCACTAAAAAACTTTATGGCTCTAGAAGGAAGGACTGATTCTTCACAGCAACTGATCACTTCGGGCAGAAATCTGTTTAACATTGGACAAATGTATCTGGCCCTTGGAAGAATGGAAATGGCCGCACAGGTGTGACACATTACCGGAGTGTGCATGTTTCTTTTGTTAAGTAGATGATCTAACAATGATTATTATGATCTACTCCATTTCTATAAGGCATTTGAAGAGTCAATAGCAAAAGACCCAATGATGGCGATCGCCCATTATACCTTGGGAAGCGTCAATTTGGCTTTAGATAGGTGAGGAAGATTTGAAGTTTGCTGCTATATAATGTTTAACTTGGTTACTTGTCAACCTTATAAAGAATCTAAGCAAGATTATTGTGCTGTTTCAAATAGAAAATGAAAGCAAAACTCTTTCATCTACAACGGTAAAATTTGATGTAAAATACAAGGTAACTTGTCTCAGATAATCAAAATGATAACCTTATTATCGAATGTTGGTGGTCATCACCTGCCCGAATTGAGCGCCAGTAGGACATATCATGCGTTATATATGGTCACCGAGTATTTCGCCACTTTAACAATTGTTCTTGTTTTTTTTTTCTTCTTTCAAGTGGAAACTTCTAAGTTATGGCTAGTTTTTTTTCTCAGATTTTGTCATAGTTTTGACTGATTAGTAATAGGACTTCGTCAAATTTTGCCTGTAATCATTCTCCTGATTAACAATTGGACTCCTGCTTCGCGGTCGTCTGATTTCGTTGATTACCGATCCAACTGTACTCGACTCAGACTTATTACCATTATTTGTATTGCAATTCAACCATTTTTTTTTTCATTGCTTCAGAAATGAAAGAGCCTTAAAGAACTTTAGTGACGCTGCTTTATTTCTTCGTGGAAACAAATTGATAAAGTATGATCAATTAGGCTTGAAGGTTAACCTTTACTTATGTGAGGTAGGCTTTCAATTTTATTTTTGTTGTTATTATTATTATTATTATTATTTCTCATTGCTGAACCTGTCCTAACTGACAAAAACGTGACACACTCGTCATCTTTCGTTTTCCTCCACACAATTCTCGGGTGCTCGTGTTCATTCAGTCTAATGTGTGTGTTTTATACCTGTTCAAATTACCTAGAACATCTCTCCAGTTTACAAATAGTGTTTTTGTTTTGGGTGTGTAGGTTCTAGCTAACAGGGCCGTTGCTCAGTCCAGATTAAAGAATGCCGAAGAAGCCAAGAATGATTTTTTGATGGCCTTACAATTCAAGATGGAGCCACGACAAAGCGTCATTCAGGACCTTCTTCTTTGCTGGCAGGTTAGCGAGACATGTATATTTCAGTGACAAGAAATGAAAGTTACATCTGACAGCTTTTAGTTAATGTGACCGCAATCTTGGTAAAACATAATAGTATAAAGTAACATATCAACAGTATGAATTCTCATATGACCAACCAATCATCTTTTCAACCAACCACCAAAGAATTTAACCAATCTTCTCAAAGAGAAAAACCAGTAATTCCTACTGGTAAAGAACTTAATCTTTCAACAAATCAAATAAACTACTGGGAAAAGGAGAGAATAACTATGCCACTCGCAAAATATTAACCATAAAAAAATTGAAAACCAACTGATCATGCTTTCCCGACTGACTGGCGCCGGGACGAATCAGGCTAATCAGAACTTCTACCAGACTGACTCACTAATGACTGACTCACCAAGAGCTGGCAAACACCATATAGCTGATCCCAAAATTCACGGAGATGTTTATTTTCTTTTTCATCTTTTTCATTTCAGTCTGGAAAGAGTGTAGAGCCTCTTAAGATGCCATCGCCATCTGTTTTCAAACCTTCAAAAGGAGCCACTGATGCTATAAACAAAGAACATAAATTCATGGAGAAATCCAAGGTTCGTAGGTCGTCTCAACAATATTGTAAATAAGCCACGTTAAAGTTTTTCTAAAGCTAAAGTTTTAAGCCTTTACATTACTAACTCAGTTGATAAGACCAAATTATTTAGTAATATTCCGCGCTGACTCGGCACCACAGTTTCTTTTTAGAAAATTACCCCCTATATGAATTATATTTGCTTGCTAGAATGTCACAAATGGATGCTGATCCACGGTTTATAGTGAAATGGGTTATTGTTGCCTTCAGGTCGTTGCTGAGGTTCAAGTTAGAAGTTTCCCTGGCCCACGAACTACACCAGCTAAGGTAAATTACCACACAAACTCTCCAAATAGAATATATATATATATATATATATAGCACTGTTTTACGAAAGTCCAAATTTTACATTATATATATATATATATACACATATATATATACACACACATATATACATATATATATATATATATACATAAATATTATGAGAGGAAAAAAGGACGTAACTACATTTCCCGACAAGCCTGTT